ATACGACACGGCAATCATATTTGAAAGACTCGTAAATTCATACAAGAATTTAAGTACAATTGACATCACGTTTGTGTCAATTGATGACAAAATAGTTGACAGAATTCTATGTATATATGGCTCACAATTGACTTCAATTGAAGTTATTAATTGTAACTATGATTTGGTTGTATGCTATCGCGAGTCATACCATAAACTCAGGAAACTTTTGGTGGGAAAGCCTAACACGAGTTTATGGACATTCTTCAACGGAAGCAATGAATTAATGTTTAAAAGTTTAACTAAATTATCGATTAATTACTTTCCCAATGACCGGAACCTTTGGACTCCTTTTGTCGATCATTACAGAAATAGTGTGAAGTCTATTGGTATTAGTGAGCTGGTTTACTTACGGTAAAAACTACACAAGTTACTTAATGGTTTTGAGTTTCAAAACTTATATTAATGAAAATTTTAACTTAATTTAATGCTTTAATAACACTAATTGCTCAACAAATGGCTAACTCTCAAACAGTTAGCCATTGGTTGCAAACAATTAAAGAGTTTTAAGTTAGAGATGAGTCCAATAAAAATGCAAGATTTGACACAAATATATAAATCAATGTAATATTTTACACGATTACGAAAACTCGGATTAAAATTTGTGCCTTACTTACTATATTCACAAGAAAATAATATTGATTTGCGAGTAAAATCATTAGCAAACTGTAAACGATTAACACAATTATCATTATTTTTGAATAATTTAATGTTAAGCGAGTATTTCTTTGACTCAATTGACATACATTTGCCACGAATTGAGACATTGATAATAATGAGTAGTTTAGAGGAATCGCCAGCAATTGAGGAATGGGTGCAAAAGTTACCGAAACTTAAATTCTTTGAATTGTCAAACAGAAAATTCAAACACAACTGAATCCATTGCCCACATAATATGTTAAACCAATAATTTGTTAATCTACAATAAAATAAATATCTAATTTTTGGCCTTTATTTACTGTTTCAATGATCAGAAATAAATCTCAAATAAGTTGTAAATTTTACAGCAATTATGACTAAAATTAATTTTGTGTGCAAATCATCACTGCTTACACTCTTTATCAAAGTCTTCATACATTAAATGTTTATAAGAAGTGATGTATTGATTGAATGGACAGTCGTTGAGGTTCGCACAGTCACCCCAACTGAGCGCATGAGGTATTCCCTCATTAATTGTGGTCTCGTTTTGATAGAAAGCTCTGACGAAGTAATCATTAGTTTTGTTGTTTTGGTGTAACTCGAGGAGAAGGGTCGCCCCAAACGGTGGGAACACATGGTTTGGGAAAT